CACACAGGCACAGATCGACTACGAATGTTTTTGTTTTTTTACTTGCATTACTCCGGGAAAACTTTCTCGGCGGCTTTCCAATGGCAGGGCTATTCAAAAAGATTCTTTCAAAGCTTTCAAAGAGAAGTTTTTATTGAAACCGTTTTTTAGAGGCGCTTCTAATTTTCCCGATTAGGTTTAGATTCCAGATATGTTTACTTATGAGTTAGAATTCGGTTTCACGATTAAAGATTTTTTTTAGAAAAATCGGATCAGTAATAAAGAAAGATAAACTGCGTTTTATCGAAATTGAAAGTCCGTTTACCATTTTCGCCCACTAGCTTACCAAGCGTAGCAGTAAGCCAATCCCTGAGCAAAGGTACAGAGTACAGTAAGTCTCAGGAAAATCTGAGCAAGTTTACTATTTTTCACCGAAGTTTATATGGATATCTCTACCACTCTTACTGATGCACGAAGATAATGAATTATTTCACTTACAACTTTAATTCAGTCTGCATTTTATTTTTTAACCTTTCTTAACTAATAAAATTTGCTTCGTTTGGAACAGGAACTTCACATCCATCCCAAGGCCAATAAATCGAACAAAAATGAAGTAGGCGCACCCATGCCTGGCACAGTGATCGATATTCGTGTAAAGGAGGGTGACACAGTCGAAAAGGGGCAACCTTTGGTAGTACTATCTGCCATGAAAATGGAGATGATTGTACAAGCACCTAAAGCTGGAGTGGTGAAGAAGCTGGAGATCATCAACGGCATGAAATTGGAAGGTGACGACTTGCTCATGCATATCGAGTAAAAATCATCGCCTTCGGCCCAGCCAAGTTGAACTGCATACCCATATGCCTGCTCTCAAAACTACTGCTTAGACCGACAGTAAATTTATTGCTTTGCGATTTTGCGATGCGAACACAAACACATACAATAATAAATAAGCTTAAATACATATATGTACAATACAAAAATATGAGTGTGAAAAGCCCAAAACGTACCAATTAGTGATGATATTTGTAGTAAATTAAAGAAGGAAATTGTTATATACACACATGCATTCTTATATATAACTATATATGAAAAAATGACAAACGATGGTACTTATGTAAACTTATATACTTATGAATATTTATTGTGTGTACATTTTAATTTACTAAATGCGCGGCCATACCAAAGTCTCAGCGAATTAAAACTTGGCTGTTTGCAAATGCAAAAAATGATACTGTCAATTTAAATAGAAAAATAATTACAAACATACTTAAACAAAACAAACTTAGAAGAAAAAAACATTTGACTCCCACATCTCCATTTAAGAGTTTGAACTTTTGTACCTTCCTAGTGAATTTACATACATATATGCATATTGAGATGATTTTAATATTGTTATTGCTGATATTGAGGAACGAATGTACAAATTCCTTTGTCAGCTAAGAGCACACATCGCGACAATCGTTGTGTCCTTTTTTTAATAGAAAGTTTCAATTTTTTCACGCACAAAAATTTCGTACCATATCGAGCCACTGTGCAGATATGTTAAACCGTAAATCTGTAGCCGTTTTTTGTGCTTGACAAAGTGTGCAGACAAAGGCAGTTGCAGTTGCGTTGAAAGCGCAGACAAAAATAAAAATAGCTACAAACCATTATTAAAAAAAGAAAAAACAATATATATTTTTGTAAGTGTTATAATGGTTTCCTTACTTTTTTATATGCATACATAGTATGTGTTAAGTTTAGAATTACTGTAGTGAGCAACATATTTTTTATACAATTCTCTTGTTCATTTAGTAGATTTCTTTATATTGTTTTCGATATACATATTTTTTGTTAAGTTTCATTTAAAGCGAGTTAAATTATATAAATGATTATGCGAGAACAAAGAGTTTATTTAAATGTATAAAATATGTATGTATGTTGGCAAGATAATAAAGAAATGTTTAAAAATATAACTTCATCCTATTTTATTTGATATTTCGAAATGTGGCGTTTGGAGAAAATAAAGAAGCTCGCTCGCTCCCAAATTCTAAAAATTCGCTTTCCCACTTTTTTCAACTTCACTGTAAAATTGTACCAGGCAAACAGAAGCACAAAGAAGGTCGCTGCAGCCCCGCGCACACACACATCTATGTACACAACCGCGGGCACTGCACGTGATGCACAGGGTTGCCAGAGTTGGAAATTAAAAGCGGTATAATTTTTTCACTGCACATTGTGTAAACAGCAATCAGCTGATTGTCTCACATGGTAAACATCGTACAGTTCCATAAGTAAAGTAACTCTTCTTCTTACCGTTTTTTCTGGCAGGCTGTAGGTGTGTTTTTGGCAGGCTGTAGGTGTGTTTTTGGTTATTGCATTGGTGTTTTTGGTTCAGTGTGTTAGTGTATTTTGAATAAATTGTAATAGAAATAAATTAAATTGTAATAGAAATGAAAGAAATTGTAAAAGATAAGAGCACATGCCAAAAAACAGGTGATCTCAGCTGTAGGCATATTTTGGCAATCAGCTGATAGTGTTTTTACTTATGAAACTGTACGATGATGGTAAATTAGCAGACCGGTTAACCGCCGTTTGCTGAAAAAAAAACTAAAAAGCACCACCAAGAAATCAAAAATGTCACTTCTACAACCAATCCAATCTCGGTTAATTAACAAGAAATGGACAATATTTGCAAATGTTTTATTTTTTCATCATGTCGCTACTAGTAGTACTACAAAACTCAATCAAACAATAACGCCACATTAACCAGCTTCCAGACAACCCTAAATTCCATCGACAATATACTCGAGAAACATCAGCTCCTTGGTCAGCTCATTGACACGTTTGTGATGCCGCTGGAGGTATGGCGTCAGTACTTCTACCACATTACGCATACCAGGCACCCCGTGCTCTGTCGGCGCTGCTATGCAATCACTCAGCAAATAGTGCAACACCAGGTTGGCTATCTTGCAATGTCTCGAATTAGTTGTCCACGCCTTCGTGTGCTCCATAAGCGTCACACGCTGCTCCCCGTTCAACGTATTGATTATCTCATGCACGGGTTCAGTGTTGCGCCCACGCACATATTCACTTATAATGTTGTAGGTTGTTTTTGGTTTGCCTAGTCGAAGGGCTAACATGAAGGCTTTTTTCATATTTTGCCGTTGTTGTAACAAAGACTGTAGCGTTTGTTCCTCTCGCATCAATTGTGCGCGTTTATCGATCTCCTCGTTCCGGCACTGTGTGGTAACATCTTGCCACTTTATTAATTTGGAGTCTGCACCACCACTGTAAAAACATTTACCGCTGCGCGCTGATACGGCCAAAGACCAAATACGATCGGTATGCGCATCCAGTGTTTGTACGCATTCGTTCGTTTTAATGCTCCATAACTTAAGTATACCATCGGTTGCGGCAGACACTATATATTTGCCGTAATCAATGAATTCTGCGCGCAGAATAGTGCATTCTTGCTCAAAACGTTTTATACAAGTTAGTGTGGATAGCGACCAAAGACGTAGTGTACAATCGCTGGATGAAGTTAGTACGACTTGATCAGCCGGCGAGAATCGCACGCACCAAACGCCTCGCGTATGTCCACGCAGCGTGCCAACTAAGGTGTTGGTCTCAGCACTCCATAATTTCGCAGTTTTGTCTTGCGATGATGTAGCCAGAAGTTTATTGTTGGGCGAAAAGCTGACACTATTCACCTCCTTGTCATGCGACAGTGCCGAGTACTTTAAATTGAAGGAGTGTGCTGCATCTTTGTTTTTTTTCAGATGCCATACTTTTAGACTGCCGTCTTGCGAAACTGAAGCGAAGAATGCCGCAGTGTTGCAGCCGAACACGAGACAGCCAATAGTGGAAGTGTGACTGCTGTTGTTGCGAGCAATACACGAAAGTGTAAAGTTATTTGGATTCACTCTCCATAATAAAATACTAAGGTCTTTTCCGGCAGAAAGTAGCAAATTAGTGCCACCAGCCGCGGCTAGTGTCATTACGGTGTCGTTGTGTCCGCTAACAATTTTGCAATTCATATTCGCTTCCGTGTCATATATCTTAATATTTTTACTATTTGAAGCTACAGCTAGGAAGCGGTCATTCTCGCCCAGAAAGCAAATATCAAGTATTTCATCATTAAACCCGATCAATTGCTTTGTACATTCCAGTGTTTTGGTCTCCACACTTTCACCAGTTGCTTTGTATATCAAAATATTTTGTTCCACCGTAACCACAGCCAATTGCTTAGTGTGTTTACAATATAGTAGTTGTCGAAGCTCTTGGCTTGCGTCCTCACTCAAAGTGATTAATTTAGCTGTTTTACAATCAACCAACTTTAAGGCTCCGGATGCACAAGCTACGACCACATCAAATGCCCCTTTGTTGACAAGATTTTCATTCAAACAGACTACGCCTTCAAGTTCTTCATACATCGGTATAACTTTGTGCTGGGATGCATCGGCTAACCGCCATACAATTAAGACTTTGTCTCGACTTACCGAAGCTACAAAATCATAACCACCATCATTTCCACCGCCTATAAATGTGATAGCTGTGACCTGGGAAAGGTGTCCACGCATTTGTCGCAAAAGTCGCTTCTCTGCATAGTTCCAACAATATATTGCATTATCTGCGCCTGCTGCATACACTTCCGTGCGCGTAGGATCTGGATGGAATGCTAAAACTAGTGCTGGGCCGGAAAATTCACGCAAAGCGCAAACACACGTGCTATGTACATAATCCCATATGCGTAAAGAAGAATCAGCACCACTAGAGCAAATGATCTTACCACAATTGCTGAAATGAATTTTAACTATCGGTCCTCGGTGCTGAGATTTCCATAATTTCACGACTTTACCAGTATCGATAGACCATAGACGCAGTAATCCACTGCGGTGAGCTGTTACAAGTAAAGTGTTATCCGGTGCAAGCGCAAAACAAGGAATTTCGTCTTCTAATTGTTCATCATCCGATCGTGGTGCTTTGTCTGCCGATAAGCCAGTTTCTCCTGCTTCAACATTAGTGCCGTATGAACGCACAAGTTGGCCCGTGGAGACATTCACTGCACATACTTCGGTATGATTCGAACAATAAAAAATTTGGCCATCATTGGACCAAGCGACATCACCACCATTATAGAAATTGTTGAACTTGGCATCAATAGCATAACTGGGCGATGAAGTAAAAGTGGAAATAAAGATTAGTTGGAGATTTATAAATGTTTCTGCTGTATTACCTCTTCTCACACAAACCAGACATGATATAATTGTGGCATTAACAATTTTTAAATATGCGAATTAAATTGATAATATCCTCGTGCAATACTCCCGGTGTTTACGTTTTTCGCTTTTCTCTTTGCACCAAAAACGTGCGCGTCACAGAAGTACCCATATGATTAAAAACTAAAAAGTAGGGCGTACACAGTTAGCGAAATCCCATATACCGCCTGTCAAAACGTAGAAATATCCTGTCAAAATGTTATTAAAATAAACTCAAAAATTGGCAAAATACGCATTGAATTAAATGAATTCCGATGTTTATCTATATTATAAGTTATTATTAAGTAGTATTTGCCTTATGAGTGAGTTTAAAGTAGAACTTTTGAGATAGTGAAATTGCTAATTGTGGACTTTCGACTTAAAATTGTGTTATGTATATATAAAATTTGGTCAGTGCTTATATGAGTTATGGAAAATGAGTGTGCATTGTGACATTTTCGGCCCTTTTGAAAGCAGCCGGCACCTTAAGCACAATCGATTGATTTTCGGCACTATTTTGGCGTATTTCAGCCGCGAATTTTAAATTTAAGAGTTAACCTTTAATCTAATAAATTAAAGTAAAATTTTTTATTCTTACAGATTAACTCGCGTACAGTGGCAGCATAAATTGTAAGCCGTTCAGCAGCGAATTTAGAATTTAAGGATTTAGGTAAGCATAGTAGTTAGTATAGTAGAACTCATCTGATATGTATGTATGTACTGCCAAGGATGTACCTCCAGTTAGCGTTAACTGGACATGGTGCAAACGGCCCTAAAACATATTTGTACATTGGCGGTATGTGTACAGTGTCCATTCGTACCGATTTTGGCGGGACAGTGCCGATTTTGAGAAAATTGTCCCGCTGAATATTTTTTAAAATCAAGTTTTTTTCTCTTAGTTTTATTTTAAATTAAACTGTATTAAAAATTTTATATCCTTTTCATTCTAAAATCAAAATTGTATGTTCGGATTCGATGCATTACATATGTCCCGATTTTTGTCCGTAAGTGTAGTAGAACTCAACTGAAATTTATGTATGTAACTGCCAGCTTGTAACCGTCATTGCTAATAAATTAACTTACAATTTTTTATTCTTGCTTCTCTACAGATTTTACTCGCGTGAAAACGCGTGAAGCAGCAGAAATTGAGAAGTTGGATCATGAGTCGCAAAAGGCCGCATGGCGACAAAGAATCAGAAACTAATAAAACAGTTTCCGTGGTGAAAAAGGTTTTACGATCGTCGTGCAAAAATGACGTCGTATATGATCAAATACAAAAGGATGTGGACGAGATGTCGTGTCTATTCGTCGATGTATCAAGATACATTCACATTACACTGATGCAACGTTGGGTACATGGAAACTTTGACGCAATGAATTTTCTTGACTGTTATTACCATCTAATGGTAAAGAAAAAACCAAAATATACAATAGACCAGGAGTATAATATGCTGCGAAAAAACCTCAAGTTGTACGATAGTTCGTATCGGTCGAATTTATTTGTGGAAAACGCGAATAAATTTCTGACTATATTCCATAACAATATTTGGATGCACGGTTATACTCGGCTCAGAAAATATTTCAAATTTGAAAGACAAAAAAAAACGTATATGATACACTGAGCTACTTATTCGACAAAAATTGCAAAAATAATGCAGATGAAGAATTACTTCAACGTATGCGTGTAGAGCTACATTGGAACGGAAATAAACTACACGAAATAGAGAATGTTAAACTGTTTTGGTCTTCCATCGAATTATTTTACAACCTGCAACGGTATAATGAGATAAATGAAATAAAAAATTTTTCACTAATACCACAACTAAAACACGGTTTACATCACGTGAGATGCGATCGATTTGCGTTCCATCAACTATTGTGTCGATTGAAATTATTCAAAGGGCCATTTTCTTCCTTCGATAAAAGTGAATTTGGAAAATATTTTAAAATTCCTTCCACGTGCACTAAAACGTTTTCGTCCTTACAAACTGATGGCATCTGTATTTCATTTTGTATGGAAAAGCAAATAAAAAAAACAAAACGAAACTAAGCTAGTGAAAAAGAGAAAACTGAAACCAAATGAAACAGATTGTACAGGAGATCTAATAAAAATACGTGCAACAAAATAATAAATATACGAAAGATTTCACCACAAAATCAGAATTGTCTGCGAATTCGTAAAATTTTAAAGAATATTGTAAATTTGAACTTGAAATACTGGAGCAAAAACAAAAAATATTCTCGCAAAGAAAGGTGGCTCGGCTGAAGCTGAAGAAATACATTTGCCGACAAAAAGCCTGCAACAAAATTGCGCAACAACTGGTACCAAACAAAGAAGAGAAAACGTTAATCTAACTCGGATCAACAGAGATTGCTTCAAACTCAACAATGCGCGGATATAGGCGTACACCAAATCGGTTACTAATCGCAGCACTAAAACAACGGCAAGCAGATATTCTGATGGTTAATGAATTCAGAACAACCAAACTTTGCGCAAAATGTACTTTGCGCACAGGTACCAGTTTTGTCCAAACTGCCGTACTTGCTGGAATCGAAACGTCAATGCTGGGAAAAACATTCTCTACCTGGGAGAATGTATCATTAACCAAGAACAAAAACATGAGAATTTTCACAAATAAGATGTCATTATTTCATATATGGCGAAAAATATGTACATCTGACTGGCAACAGTTTAACTCTAGTTAGTACCCCCTATATTGCATTTGCATACAAAACAAAGTCGGCCCGCTTATTGTTTTTTTTTTACAGTAGAATTGGTGTGTTATCTCTTCAAAACAAACTTGATGTACTCGTAATAATTAATATAATCTTGCTTGTCATTAGGCAGATAAGCGGGATGAGCATTTTCTCATAATCATCTAAATAAATACATAATTTTAAAAATTTGGTATGCTGGAACTCAGTTGTAGTCGCGTTTGCAAGGAAAAAGCAAGTAGCGTCAATGAAGATAAAATGGTCTTTGTGTGTGTAGAGGATTTTGAAAAGAAAGCATACAGTGTGCTCGAAAAGAGCGCTTTGGATTATTATCGTAGCGGCGCAGGAGAACAATTTACACTGAACTTGAATCGTGAAGCTTTTCGAAGGTTATTGTTCTCCTACATATAGGCCCTTATTATGAGCTGCATTCGATTTTCGATCTTCGCTGGCTATCGAAGATCGAAGATCGAAAGTGAAATTCGTATTATGAGCTATGCAAGCGTGTCGAAATTTTCGTTGAGTATCGAATTTTCTGTCGAACAGAATTTTGCTTTCGATGATGTAGCGAAGTGTTAGAAAATTGTGAAAAATGTATGATTTTGTATATGTTTTCTTACATTTTGGCGGCTAGACATTAATTTTAAACAATTTTTATTAATTTCATGCAGTTCTAACATCTTGAATACTAACCACAAGCTCGAAAGGCTGGTTTTACTTGTGAAAGAAAATCCCAATACTCTGTTGGCACGATCTCTGAGAACAAAATCGTAGCGCTGTTGATAGTTTTAAAATATTTTAAATAGATTTCGCTCACAAACGCCTCTTTAGATGGTCGGAACTTTTTAATGAATCTGTAGACAAATTTCTTAAATATATTTTATATCAAAATATATTCGAAAGACTAATAAACTTAAACTCTCTTAAACATTTGCTACTCCTGGCCAGTTTACTAAGCTCTCATCCTCTGACGAATCGTTGAACCAGAACTCGTACTCATTTTACCACGTTTTTATAAACTTGCTTTCTTTTTTACTTCATTTTAATTAGAACAAATTTACATAAATATGTATAAGCACACTATTTAGTTTGCTCGATTTGTAAACAAAGCTTCTCAGCGGTGAAAAATATACTATTGTGAACAACCTAAACGAGCGAAATTCACAATAGCGCTATTCTTCATCGAATGAGTGCCATAATACCAAATGCAAATTCGTTCGCTCAGCACTTTCGACCACAGTCGAAAATCGAATGCAACTCATAATAGGGGCCATAATTTAAGTTCTATTCTCATATTGAAGATTTAGATACATACATACATACATGGTATGTATAAAAAAAAAACTATAGAATATGAAATTAGACATATCAGCAAGTTGTGCATCGAAAAAAATTAGATATACTATATAGAACATTTTTTTCGAACTAAGGCACCATTCTATAGATAGCACGAACATATACGAAGTAGAAATACATATACATTAGACTGTGTTAAATAAAACGAATGTCGGTCACAAAATTTCAGCCTTCGATATCATTTTTCAATTAGCGCTCGCAAAAATAAGAATTGAATATAACAAACAAAAAATCTAAGTACCTTGTAGCCCATTTAATTTTAGTATAATCAGTGTCAGTTTGAACTTAGCTTTGACTTACCGTTGATTTTTGGAAATTTTTTCGTTGACGGTGTTATGCATTTTTTTCCATACAAAGTGACTCAGTGTGTTCGACAACTTGTTTATATGAAAAAATGAACAATAACTTCAACAAAAAAAAATCAAAAAACCATCGGTAAGTTAAAAAAAGTAGCGGACATTTTTTTTTTTTTGCTTTTATTTCCGCTAACGGGCCGGAAACTCGAAAAAATACATCTACAGTTTTGCTTCGCAGTGCAAAATAGTATGAACAAGTACATATAAAAACTAAAATTTATAAATTTTTATTTCAGAATTCGCATGCGTCCACGATTTTTACGTGATGTCTCTAAAATTGACACACGTTGCAATATCCTGGGCATTGATCTTAAATGGCCATTAGGTATTGCACCCACTGCTATGCAAAAATTGGCGCATCCGGAGGGTGAGGGTGCAAATGCGCGTGCAGCAGGCAGTGCTGGTTCCATCTATATATTGAGTACATTGTCTACTATGTCAATTGAAGAGGTCGCAACTGCGGCACCAAATACCAATAAATGGTTTCAGCTTTACGTCTACAAAGATCGGTAAATAAACATATGTTTATATGTATGTGCACGTAATCGCTATAATCGTATAGTTATATGCATTAGGGTTGGTACTATTCGTAAATTTGGATATCCGGATGTCCGTTCGGATATTCGTGTACATGGATAAAATCCGGACATCCGGTTACTATGTGTTAATAATAATATTTCGAGTTGCAAAATAAGTAACAGAAAATTCATAATACAAAAACAATTCTTATTTTATTTTTATATTGTTATATTTATTATGTTACGTTATGTTATGTTATTTTATTGTTATATTCTGATATCTATACACTATTCGGATGTTGATAATTTTTACTCAGGTATTCAGATATTCGGATAGTCAAAAAAACCGGAAAGAACTCCCAGCCTTATATGCATATGCACCAGCTCAAAGGAAGGTAAAATTGGAGGGACTTTTTGGGAATACCCTATCTATTTTAAGGTGATTTTCCTGGGAAAGTGGAATTCAACCAATATTTAACGATTACACGGTTTGTGATCCTCTCGTTTCTATTCTAGAAGAGACAAGTCCATGACCGCATGGGGCAAGGTCCCGTGACTGATAGTGTCGGCAACACTGGCCACTCAAAGGGAAATTTTCTATTACAACACAATGGCAACGCCATTCCCTTTTGAAACGATTATCAACGGCAGCTCTAGTTTTTAGTTTTCAAAGAAGCCGCGACAAAAAACCAATTGTAAAACGAAGCCGAAAGAAGTCTAAGAACGAAAACTGAAATTTGTCTGCTTTATATTTCTGCCCGCGAGCCATAGATTTGAATTTAAATATACAACTTAAAATTAACTCCCTTGTTTCGTTTCTCTGACAAACAGAGTTCAATACTTTCGCGAACAAGGTTGTGCTGTTATGTGGTCTTCGTGGGGAATATAATCTTTTTCGTGTCAATTTATTTTCTGTAGGGTAAGCCCGCGTAATAAGGCACAATTTTTTTTGCTTTTCACAATATCTTCCAAAATAAATAACATTTTGTTACAAAAATTAAATGGAAATTCAGTTTATTAAATTTACTAATATATTCTGTATATAAAAAACCAAAAACGAAAACAGTTCTTTACATAAAATGCCGAATAAAAATATATATTATAAAATTTTCCCCGAAATCTTCCAATCCATCAGACTCGTCATTAAGGGGTACATTTTGTTCCTCCTCTGATGAACTGGGCAAATCTAGGACTTGGTTTTTGTTTTTCGGTTTATGAATGGGCGTAATTTTTTTTTATTTTTTGTGTTTTCTTCGCACTTCATAGATTTTAGCAATTGCTGTGACCTGTTTCCGGTGTTGTCAACACCCGTGCTTTTTGTGCCCTTTCACTTTTTTTAGGCTTAGATACCGAAGGAACAGGACAGACATGATCTAGAGCTTTGCCGGGGGTTATATCAGGGGGCTCTGTGGCATCAAATAAAGAGTCAACTACTTAGTGCAAGAATAAAATGTGTTTGGGTAGAAAGTGGTAATAAAAACGTAAAATAAAAAATTAGATATGAGCAGTTATTAAATATCTTAATATCTACCTGTGGTGGTGTCATATGCCGTAGAATCTCCATTCTTCGCCCATTTGTATAAAAGCATATTCTGGAATTGCAGTTGGATTAAAGGGACAAATACCAGTTGCCACGAAAACCCGATATTCAATTTTTCGATACCGCAGAATTTCCCCAGGCCTCGGAGAGTAAGTTCCCAAATTCATATCGTCCAATTTTGCGACTCGGATTATTGCGAATAAATAAATTACACGCAGCGTAATAGTATGACTTGAATGCTTTGAAAAAGGATCTGTCCAAGACTGGAGGAATTGAGTCGTATGAGGTGGCAAACAAAAGAGAACTATATCATTTTTTGGAGTGGTTGCCCATTAGTCTACTGTCAGTCATAATATTTTCAAGCAGATCGAAATATTTTTTCCTTCTTCTCGGTTCATGCTGGTTGCTCGAGCTTGCGAAACACCTTCAGATTTTATAACGGAAAGATCTTGGTTTCGTTTTAAAAATCGTTGCAACCATTCGTCGCCGGCTGTCTTATTAAATCGGTGTGCAACACAAGCTTTTCAGCAATATCATATGCCATTTGACGTACCATCCGCCGTGTTGGAGCGAACCCATGGCCTTGCAACTTTTTTATGTGCGCAACCATTTTTTGTTCGATGTCACCTCCCAAACAAATAGGTCCACCCAATGGCTTCTTACTAGACGTTTTAGATTTAAGGTACCAGCAGATCGTTGAAGCAGAGACCTTGTACTCTTTTGCAGCCGCATTGATAGATAATTTATTTTTTTGTATTGCATCAATCGCAGTTTTTAAGTTTTCGTCGGACCACGAAGCCCTGTTCGAATTAGCTTTCCGTTTATAAACGTTGGGCATTTCTAATAGCATACAATATCAAAAAATAATTGTGTATATATTTTCTCTCGAAAGATATGAACAAATTGTAAAGTATTTCTTTTTTTTTATTAGATAGAAAATGTTCGTAAAACGGGTGATATGGCATATGAAAAAAAAAATATGCATACCATATCGCCCGGAAGAAATTACACCATTTCGCCCGTTTTGACACAATTTACGAGCAACACTGACAAAAGCTAAACTTCTTGGAATTCGTTCCAATTTGCATGCGTGGTTTTTCTTTAAGTCCCTTTTCAGACACGTCAAGTCTTGAAAGCAATTTTTTTCGCATTCTCTTTTGTGTTTTCTATTTGCTTCCACACGCGTCAACTTTAATTGAATTCAAGTTCTTGGTTCTTTAACTGGGAAGCAACGAAAAGATAAAAAAAGACAAGAAAACTTGAAACGAATTGAGGGTACGGAGATATCTGTACTCTTCCCCTCTCTTCTCACCTCCTTCGCCTACGAACGAGCAGACTTGAAAACAAGACTTGACGTGTCTGAAAGGGGACATACTCTTAACATGATTAAATAATACAAGGTTCGATAAACTGACAGTTGTCTCTCTCGCACCGCTCCCTTAGCAGTGGCAGCGTGTTGCTTCTTTGCAAACTTACTTGGAAAAAGTGTAGCTTTGGTGTGAAATAGAAGTATAAGATTTGGGCAATATATTTATTTGGATATACATATGAAGCATATTTAACTGATGAAAACATAAACTTTTTTTAAATTGGATATTTACATAAAACTCGCAGTAGGGTTATATTAATTTTCTTTTGCAGTTTTTATACAGCGAAATAGCACATAAATTGCGTAATTCACGTAGATACTGTAACATTACGTTCAATATTTCGTTTAAAATGCCAGATTTATTGCAAATACTTTAGAATTTACAAAAGGACTTTCACTACTAATTGCCTACTTTGCGTACTTTTCTACTACCATTTACGCACCAAGGGATTTCATTCTTCGTCTTTCTCCGTCCTTCGTAAATGCAACCTCTTGTAAGGGAATGTCAAACCGCGACTGTCAATAATTATCTAACCTTGTATTATTGAATCATGATCTCTTAATAATATTTTCTATGCACAAACAATATACGTAGGCTAAAAACTTACCGAATAATTCTCATATAAAGAAATATAATATTTCTTAGAAAAGTAATATAAGCCGCACTTTTTTCTCTTTTTATTTTCTTTTTTGAAATTTATCATGCGCACCGACAAGAGCACTTTGCCCCTCGCGTTATTACGTAAGACTGAATCATATATGTTGAAATGAGAGTTCTGAGCGAATTGCAAGAGTGTTTGAGGGTCCACCATATCACCCGGTGAACCATTTCACCCGGGCTTACCCTACTACAACTACCATTTTACGATTTTTCTCTCATTTCAGCTCACTCACAGAGAAAATGGTACGTCGTGCGGAGAAGGCCAATTTTAAGGCAATCGTCTTAACAATTGACGCACCAATTTTTGGTCAACGTCGCTCGGACGTCCGTAATAAATTCAGCCTTCCGCCACATTTACGTCTTGCCAATTTTCAAGGCATCAAAGCTGAAGGTGTGCGTAGTGATAACGAAGCAACATCCGGAATAAATGCTTATGTTTCAAGTCAATTCGATCCGACGCTAACGTGGAAGGATGTGGCCTGGCTAGTAAAGTTAACGCGGCTGCCAATTATAGTTAAAGGCGTACTAACACGCGAAGATGCCGTATTGGCACGTGAATTTGGCTGTGCCGGAATAATTGTCTCAAACCATGGCGCACGACAGATCGATACAGTGCCGGCTGCAATTGAAGCACTTCCCGAGGTGGTCAAAGCAGTGGGTAATGATCTGGTGGTGATGTTGGATGGAGGCGTTACGCAGGGCAATGATATTTTCAAGGCATTGGCGTTGGGTGCAAAAATGGTATTTATAGGACGTGCTGCCCTCTGGGGCTTGGCTTGTGACGGACAAAGAGGTGTTGAAGAACTGTTAAGAGTGTTGCGTAAGGATTTCGAAATTACACTTGCTTTAGCAGGTTGCCAAAAGTTAAGTGATATCACGCTAGATATGGTGGCTCATGAGTCGGCCTATGCAAGGTTATAGAACAAATAACGAGGTTTTAAATATAAAATACAAAATTTATAAAATGTGTATTTAGTGTTTTTTACAAACTTTTATTAAACTTCCTCTGTATGTACATACATATGTAAATAAGTATGTTTGTTAGGGGCAAATCTTGCAATCAATTTTTAACCAACTTCCAGATGACCTACGATCTTGAAGCTTCACAGTTGGCTCAGAACCCGACGACAATGCAATACGAAATATCAGTTAGGTGGCGCAGGAATCGAGATATTTGAAAAACCCGTAATTCGTTCATATTTAGAACGTATATTAAATACATGAAAAAGAATAACTCCACAAAAATGTTTACCGATAGGTGGCGCACGAGTTGATTTATTTAGTGAACCAGTATTTATGGTCCGATTTCATTCAGAAAGCTTGCTTAAAAATATTTCTTTTTAGTATTAACTTATTTATAAAATCAAATAAAACGTATTAAAAATACGTGTTGCAGTAACACAGTATTGAAAATACTTCCCGCCTGGAAATTCTTTGTGCACCGTCCTATCCGCATAGCTCTTGGCTAAATCTTACTTAAAAGATCAATGCACAAAGTGGACTTATCTGTATTTACCGTGTAAACAGACAAAAAGTAGTATCGGAAAGTTTGATTTTCAGAAATAAAAACTGATTTCGAGAGCCCATTTACGTGCAAGGTGTATCTGCTCCTGCAATCTCTTTTGGAATTTCTTGAGTTAGACAGATTTCAAATAAGGACTTGCACTTGCCACGTCTAACAGCTACTTAATAATGTAACGAAGTATTTAAATTTTGTGGGAAAACGCAATCAAAGTTTTATTAATTCATAAAGCTGGTACACAAAAAGATAGAAGGAAATACAAATCGTCGATCGCCCATCGACCAGTTGCAAAACCGCCTAAATCTCCATTGTGACAAAAATGAGATTCGAAAGCCCCGAACCCCAGGCATCGCTATTTATGCCTAAGAATCGTGAAATTGTTATTAAAACAACAGATTTGTAAAATAATAGCTAGAGAAAATACCGCCTATCAAGGTAATGCCTTCAAATAAAACCCGTTTTTTCGCTCTCCTATAAAATTTGAGTGCCGTAAGATAGGCGGTTTTGCAATTGGTCGATGGGCGGTTTTGCGAAAACTTCGACGAAATATCTTCGCCATATTTGGGAAGTTTGGCTATCTGTTAGACTGAACATATTATACTTATCAGGCTTATTAATTGCATAATGAAATCTCCAATAACGTAAATTTTGAGTTAAATCCCTATATTATTAAACGTGCAATGTGTTCACATGATTTATAAAATTGTTGTCCTGAACGTAAAAGGAAGTGAACCAAAGTCGTGTATGCGCCCGTCTTATTTTTTAGGAATTTTAAAATTTAATTATAAATAAATTAATTTAAATTTATGTATGGATATAATTAACAATAAATCAATTTAATTATAAATTCAATAGATTAACATTCGGTTAGTTTTACCTCACTTTCAGCAGAAATGCAAATTGCTAGTGCAGCACGAGCAAATTATTTCTCGAAAGTGATTTGAGTTCTTTTAGTTGCAATACACCTTGAAAATAATTTTGGAAAATCTGCAAACATTTTTTTTCTTCCATTCGCTTTCCATTTTGCGAAAAAAATCTAAAAAAGTGCGCTTGCATTGTTACGTCTAACCGCACTTTAAGTTTGCTTTCGGTTGTATTCCAAGAATGATAGAACACAAGGTTGCGCCGTCCTGGGCGTTGACATTTGTGTACCACAAGTAAACAAAGAATAGAGCGAAAAGAAGAACGAGTTGAAACTGCCAAAGCAGTTCACTTTACAACGAAACCCGTGTTTTAATTTTGCTAAATGTGAAAATATTGCATTTTTCACCTAATCTATTAGAGAATAGTGAACATTTTAGTGCACTCCATTGCTTTACAATTGAGGCTGCTTCAGCAAACGTTTTAGTGCACTCCATTGCTTTGCAATTAAGGCTGCTGCAGAAAACTGCAGCAGCATCTCTGCGGGATTGATTAGTT